AATCCCGGTCTCGCCATCCCTCACAAACCGCGCTTCGGGTGTTGAGCGAGCAAGCGGGTGACCTAAAGGAATAAGGGAAGGGACCAAGGTTGAGGCACACTGTGGTAAAGAACGCAAAGATGGAGAATAAAACCACATCACCCGTTTAATTAAGCTGAACTAGGGTGCTTTTGCTCAGCAGATGGGCCCATGATTTATTGGTTGGGTTTGTAGAACAACCTGGCTGGGTTCACACACGTGCCCTCTGCAATTCCTGAACTGCAAATGTCTTGAATCACCCACTAATGCAATCGTCTCGCCCCACCAAATGTGCTAACCTACCCCCAGAACAAAACAAACCCTTGCCAAGGTTTAGACCGGACTATGCCCAAAATGGAAACGTTTTGTTATGAACCTGGAACAAACGATCCCATTCCAATGTTTCTTCTGCATTGTTTATGGTCAACTGCCAATGAAATGCAATTTGGAAATGTTTTTATTCTTCTACGTTTGGGACACAACAACATTCAGAGAAAGCAAGAAGGGGAAGGCAAGGGCCCATCAACTGGCCCTCCCATCCTCACCTCTATTTGTAGCATATCCCACCAGCTTGATCCCCCCCTGGTTTTCCAAGCCCCCTTCCCCTAAATGTCGACCTTTCAAGGTAGACCAGACTCAGAAACCAAAAGCACGCAGGCCAGTATTACTTTTTATTATAAAGATATAGTAGCAGAATCTTGCAAGTCTGAATGTGCTTCCCCCTCCCTCTCTTTAGCCTTGCGAGAACTAGGGAGGGTCTTGTCTGAAACGCTTTCTCAGCTTACCGTTCTACCCCAGACTCAAGTTTCTTTTATCTGACTGCTGTCTTGGTAGCGAGTCTTCCTCCTGTACCTCAGGGCCATTTCCTCTTTCCACTACCTCAGCTGCTACCGTCCCAGCCCCCTAGAGCAATGGTCCCTAAGGCGGACTGCACACCCCCCCAGAGGGTGTGCAACATGATCCACTGAGGGGCAGCAAGAAAATATTACAATGTCTATTTATATTTTTTAGGGGACGCAGTGGCGCAGCGGCTTAATGACGCTGAAAGTTGCCGGCCAGAAATGGTCGACACTTCAGCGGTTCAAGCCCAGCTCTGCGCAGCAGAGCGAGCTCCTGCTTCCTCCCCAGCTCCTGCCAACCCAGAGGAGTGACTGCACAGCACCCACGTGTGAGTCCCTGTCTACGTTTTAGGTGACAGTAGACTAGAGTCGATGCATCCATAACTTTTTTCGACCAATGTAACGCACCATTAATTTTCATGGGACGATTCTTTTGTGCTTCCTAATACCCTAGGCTAATGTTCCTTCGATAGCTCAGCTGGTAGAGCAGAGGACTGTAGAAGATCTGCTTGAGTCATCCTTAGGTCGCTGGTTCGATTCCGGCTCGAAGGAAATTACTTTTTGGGGGACGCAGTGGCGCAGCGGCTTAATGACGCTGCAAGTTGCCGGCCAGAAATGGTCGACACTTCAGCGGTTCGAGCCCAGCTTGGTGCACCAGAGTAAGCTCTTGTCTCCTCCCCAGCTCCTGCCAACCCAGAGGAGTGACTGCACAGCACCCACGTGTGAGTCCCTGTCTACGTTTTAGGTGACAGTAGACTAGAGTCAATGCATCCATAACTTTTTTCGACCAATGTAACGTACCATTAATTTTCATGGGACGATTCTTTTGTACTTCCTAATACCCTAGGCTAATGTTCCTTCGATAGCTCAGCTGGTAGAGCGGAGGACTGTAGAAGATCTGCTTGAGTCATCCTTAGGTCGCTGGTTCGATTCCGGCTCGAAGGAGGTTACTTTTTGGGGGACGCAGTGGCGCAGCGCCTTAATGATGCTGAAAGTTGCCGGCCAGAAATGGTCGACACTTCAGCGGTTCGTTGGCGCACCAGAGTAAGCTCCTGTCTCCTCCCCAGCTTGTGCCAGCCCAGCAGCTCGAAAACTCCCGTGAGTAGATAAATGGGGACTCTCACCCTGGTGGGAGGAAAAATACTGGCGGGGCCTTGCACGGGAGACGGGACCAGTTGCCGGTAACGTGGAAGCCGCGCTTGCCTGAAAAAGGCGCGAAGCAACGGAAACCCCGCCTCCTGCGCTCGCCACCTGGGCTCTGCTCTAGGAAGGAGGCCATGGCAAACCACTTCCGAAACACTTTGCCTTGAAAACTGCAGGGGCTCATCCAGGCAGTCGCTGCAGAATCGGTCACGACTGAGTGCGGATAAAATCTAACAAGGTAAGAAATAGAGGGATCCTAATAAAATAGAGACTATGCAACATATAGTTTGAGGGTATGCTTTATAACAGAACTATCTTCTGTATAGTTCTGGTTACTGAATTGTACAGTGCACTGAATCACCAACTAATGAAATAAGCTCACATCACCCAACATGCTAAGCTACCCCCCCCAATCTATATATTCTGTATATAACGCCATAGTACAGAAGTACAGGTCCGGCATTTATAAAAGAACAAGCATGCATATATTGGGGGTGCATGCTCAAAAATGTTTTACTGATAAGAATGGGGGATCAAAAGTTTAAAGCCTGCTGCCCTAGATGAAGAGGAGCTGGGAAGACTGGACAGGTGGCAATACTGGGTGAAGCTGTGAGAAGCAAGTGGTGCAATTTGGTGCGTGTGAGAAGAGGCAGTCCAGCCCAGATGTGGAGGCTGTAGGAAGATAATGTTTTAAAGCAGTGTTGTCCAAACTTGGCCACTTTAAGATGAGTGGACTTCAACTCCCAGAATTCCCCAGC